AGGCCGAGCTTCGATCAGCCAAGGCCGAGCTCGCCGCTGCTCGTGAGGGTCGACCCCGAGCCTCGCAGCCAGTGGAGGCCGACATAATCGGCCTGGTGCGGCGGGAGATGGCTGCGTTCCAGCAGCGTTTTGACGTGCTGGAGAGCAGGATCCTCCGCCCCCCACTCGCAGGGAGTCAAGCAGCACCGCGCACATTTGCGGCTGCGGCAGCTATGCCGACTACTCCTGGTCGGTCCAGCCGCGGTGTCCGGGCCCAACCGCCGGCGGCTTCGCCGGCGCAGGCTCCAGCTGAACCGGTGGTGAGGGCGTCAACAGTTCGTAGGCGAGGGAGCGCCGTGGCTGGGCCGTCTACTGCCCCAGCTGTGGAGCCTACCCGAACTTCGGGTGTCCCTGCCAGCGACGGCGGATGGCAGGTGGTCGGAGAGGCGAGGAGGGTCGCCAAGCAAGGGCGAAAGCGCCGAAAAAAAGGAGCAGCGGCAGAGGCAGCGGCAGCGGCGCAAGGAAAAGCGCGCTGCGGCAATGCTTGTCGCCCCTAAAACCGCGGCTGTAGTGATAACTCTACAGCCGGACGCGGTCAAAAGAGGCGTGACATATGGCGACATCCTCGCCAAACTGAAGCGGGCGGTAACTCCCGCGGAGTACGGGGCCCCTAACGGGTTCTCTTTGAAAGTGACGGCGACTGGAGCCCGTTTACTAGAGGTCCCCGGCGCGACCAGCGGTCCAACCGCTGACGCTCTAGCCGAAAGGCTCAGAGTGTGCCTTGGTGCAGACGAGGCTCGCGTGTCAAGGCCAACCAAGTGCCTGGAGTTACGTATAATGGGCCTGGACGACTCCGTGACGGAGGAGGAGGTCGTGGCCGCGGTGGCCAGGACGGGTGAGTGTCCTGCCGAGCAAGTTAAGGCCGGCACCATCCGTGCAGATAATTCGGGGTTGCGAACGGTTGTAGTGAGCTGCCCCGTCTCAGCGGCCAAGAAAATAAAGGAGGGTCGAAGGCTCCTGGTAGGCTGGGTCTCGGCGCAGGTCAAACTGCTCGAGGTCCGACCTATAAGGTGCTACCGCTGCCACGTAGGTGACCACGTGAGCGCTAGGTGCACCTCGGAGGTTGACCGCAGTGACTGCTGCTTCCGTTGCGGTCAGCCCGGTCACAGAGCCGGCTCGTGCTCTGCCCCGCTGCACTGTCACGCATGTGCGGCGGTTGGTAAGCCGGCCAATCACCGGGTCGGGAGCAAGGCCTGCTCCCCTCCTGCCAAATCCAGGGGCAAGAGTAGGCCCTCCGCTGCCCCCGTCAGTCCCGCCGCCGCCGCTGCAGTCGCCACTGCTACCGTCGCCGCGGCCACCATGGCTGTAATGCCGTCAGGGAAGAGGCTGGGATGGATTGCCAATAATAGCTCCATTCCGCCTCCTTCAGGCGAACATCAACCACTGCGCCGCCGCTCAGGATCTCCTGCTTCAGAGCATGGCGCAGTGGTCAATAAATGTCGCTGTGGTCTCCGAGCCGTATTTTGTCCCGCCCAGGGATCACTGGGTGGCAGACTTGGACGGCTCGGTGACCATCATCTCGTCAGCCGCCGCCGGAACCCCGACTCTCGAGGCCGTTCAGAGAGGCCGGGGTTGTGTCGCAGCACGGTTCGGAGAGATCGCTGTGGTGGGCGTGTATTTCTCTCCGAACCGAACTCTCGCCGAGTTCCACAACTCCCTGAGGGAGTTGGTCGCCGTCGTTGTCGGGTTCCGTTCCCTCCCCGTGCTCGTCCTCGGGGACTTCAATGCCAAGAACTTGGCTTGGGGTTCCCGGTTTACTGACGTTCGGGGTAGGATGGTGGAAGACTGGGCCCTTGAGGCAGGCCTAGTCGTCCTGAACCGGGGTTCTGTCCCCACGTGCGTGCGGATGCAGGGCGAGTCGGTGGTGGACATTTCGTTCGCTAGCCCTGCTCTGTCACCGCGTGTTGTTGACTGGCGCGTCATGGAGGAGGTGGAAACGTACTCCGACCACCGGTATATCCGGTTTAACGTCTCCACCGAGTCCGCGGACCCGCTGGTCAGACAGGCTCCATGTGGCCCGCGTTGGGCGCTGAGACAGCTGGACCGGGAGCTATTCCTTGAAGCCGCAATCGTGCAGGCCTGGGTGATACCACCGGACAGGCCTGCCGACATCGATGAGGAGGCGAGGTGGCTCCAGGACGCCATGTCCAGAATCTGTGACGTGGCGATGCCCCGGGTCCGGCCAGGTCAGCGCAAGCGCCAGACGTACTGGTGGTCGCAAGAGCTGGCTGCTCTACGCAGTGCATGCACTGCTGCGCGACGCCGGTACACCAGGCACCGCAGGCTTCGCATCCGTCCTCAGGACGCAGAGGTCAGAGAGGCGGAGTTGTACGAGGGGTACAAGGCGGCGAAGGCCGCCCTGAAAGCGGAGATACGGCGGGCCAAAGAGAATGCCCTCCAGGAGTTCTTGGAGACTCTGAACAGAGACCCGTGGGGACGCCCCTATCGGATGGTGCGGGATAAGCTCCGCACATGGGCTCCCCCGCTGACTCAGAGTCTCCGGCCAGAGGTAGTGGAGGAGGTGGTCGGCACCTTGTTCCCCCGACTACAGAGGGGTTTCACCCCTCCGTCCATGACTCCGCCCCCTGCGGTGCCCTATGTGGGCCACAGCGAAGACGACGACGACACAGTTTCGGAGGTGACCGAGGCCGAGTTGAGAGCGGCGGTGCGCCGGATGGGCGCCAAAAACCGCCCCGGGACCCGACGGACTGCACGGCAAGGCGTGGGTCCTGGCCTCGGAGGCTCTCGAGCCTCGATTAATTGGTCTCTACAGCGCATGCTTGGAGAGGGGCCAGTTCCCGCTATTGTGGAAGGCGGGTAAATTGGTCCTAGTGAAGAAGCCGGGGCGCCCTGCGGACTCTCCGTCCGCGTACCGGCCCATCGTGTTGCTCGACGAGGTGGGAAAAGTTTTCGAAAGGATCATTTCGAACCGCCTCGTCGCGCACCTGTCGGATGTTGGGCCGGACCTGTCGGACGGCCAGTTCGGCTTTCGCAGAGGGCGTTCCACGGTGGACGCCATCATGCGTGTAAGAGACCTCACGACGGGGACTGCAGTGTCCAGAGGTAAGGTCGTAGTGGCGGTGTCCTTGGACATCGCCAATGCCTTCAACTCCCTGCCCTGGAGCTGCATTTTGGAGGCACTTCGATATCATCGGGTGCCCACCTATCTCCGTCGTGTAATCGAGGCATACCTGACGGAACGGTCCGTCATTTACCCCGGTCACCGAGGTGAGTGGAACCGGCGAGAGACGTCGCGCGGTGTTCCACAGGGTTCGGTTTTGGGGCCGCTCCTGTGGAACATCGGCTATGACTGGGTGCTGCGCACCGACCTCCCGAACAACGTCAGCGTGGTCTGTTACGCTGACGACACACTAGTGTTAGCACACGGGAGGTCGCATCAGGCGGCGGCTAATTTAACGGCGAGAGCGGTTACGACAGTCGTTGAAAGAATCCGGCAACTGGGACTCGAGGTGGCGCTCCACAAATCCGAAGCCATGTGTTTTCATGGCCGCGGGAACGCGCCACCTCCGGGTGAGTCCCAATTAACGGCGGGAGGAGTTACCATCGGCGTCGAGACGACGATGAAGTATCTAGGACTCGTCCTCGACAGTCGGTGGAACTTCGTGGAGCATTTCCGACGTTTGGCTCCTAAGTTGGAAAGGACGGGGGCGGCGCTTAAGCGCCTCCTACCCAACCTCGGGGGGCCAAACGCCTCCTGCCGGAGGTTATACGCCGGGGTCGTGCGGTCCATGGCCCTCTACGGAGCCCCTGTGTGGGCGCCGAACCTGATGCGGCGGCCCGCTCGGGCGCTGCTCACATCACAGAGGGTCATGGCGATCCGATTGATACGCGGATATCGCACGATCTCCGGGGAGGCGGCAAACCTCCTTGCCGGATTACCGCCGTGGGATCTGGAGGCGAAGGTGCTCGCGCGCGTGTTTTGTTTGCGCGCGGAGGCACGTCGCCGGGGCGAAACTCCGCTGCCGCGCCAGATTAATGCGTGGCGGGATGAGCTCCGGCGTGATCTCATGGCGGAATGGCAGCAACGACTGTCGCAACCGAAGGCTGGGCTCGCTGTCATTGCAGCGGTAAGTCCCCTCTTTGAGGAGTGGCTTGAGAGACGCTACGGCGTCCTCACCTACCGCCTGACGCAGGTGCTTACCGGACACGGAAGTTTCGGTAGGTTCCTGTTTCGGATTGGGCGGGAGGAAACGCCCGGGTGTCATCACTGCGAGGATCGCCCGGAGGACACGGTGGAGCATACGGTGGCGGTGTGTCCTGCGTGGACTGAGCACCGCCGTGTCCTCAGGAATGTGATCGGCGACGGCGACCTCTCGCGTCCGGCTCTGGTTCAGACCATGGTACGGAGCGAGGGGGACTGGGATGCCGTCTCCTCCTTCTGCGAAGCAGTCATGCTAGCTAAGGAGGAGGCGGAGCGCGTGAGGGAACGAACCTCCTCACGACCCGGCCGTCGCGAGAGACACTCCGGGCGTCGGGGATCGCGAGACGATCTCCGGCCACCGTAAGCACGGGTCTGCGGACGGCGAGCATGGGTGACTCGCCGCCCGACCAGAACCAGGCCCGTGCGTACGGCGCGTCGCGTTCCGCGCGCGCCTCAAGGAGCCATCAGACCACCACAGATGGGGCCTAACAAGGCTGATGCCGATACGGAGCCGCGGAAGACTTAACGGGTTGCCGGGGCTCCGGTTCGAAGTGCAGGTGTAGGAACGGGGTGGTTTTTAGTCAGTAAGAGTCTGACACTCCCTCCCGCCTCACCCAGGCGGGAGAAGTCATTGGATGATTTTCCCCCCTCAAAAAAAAAAAAAGGCTATTTCTTGCGAGACTACAAATCTGTAAGTCTAATTGTCAGATAATTTCATACATTTTCCATGCAAGATAGTTCAAATTATATATAAGTTAGTTAGTAAATATATTTAAGTTGTTAAGATGATGATGCTTACCATGGATGGTGAACAGCGTTGTCACCCAGAACCAGTGCATCCACCAGTGTAGCGTCATGATGGCAGCTTGATGAAGACCTACGGACTTTGCCGACCTGGAAACAAACACAAGTAATTAACATCTAATGAAATGTTTGGTTAAAGAACTTATGAAGGTCTTATTTTAACTCAATATTATAATGTATATTTGTCTTTCTTTCATAAACGTCTTTGAACGTTTTACTATTGTGTCTGTAGATGGTTAGGTTACACAGGAGAAACCATGGTCGGAAAATTTGTATTTCTTATAAACTAAGCTTTAATTTAAATTCAGCTTTGTAAGATTATTCAACTTAGCATTAAGCGATTTCAACATCTTGAAGTTTTAAGTTGTTAGAAACATTCGTTTCGGATCAAAAGATTATAATTCTTAGTAACAAAAACAAACGGAGAGTTACGAAAACATTTAATAGAAAAAAACAAAAATGTATGTTAATTTTAAATATGTACCATTTCTTTAATAATATTGTATACATAATATGCTAAACTGAAAGTTATTACCAAAAAAGAGAATACAACTCATTAATCCGAAATAATGGTTTGTAGCTAAAATTGTGAATTTCAGTAAGGCGTGCAGACTGGCGTACCTATGTCCGGGGTTGGTATGCGATATACATACATACGGTACCTATGTATGTACATAGGGATGGTAGCGATAACAAAGGGTATTAAATCCCACGCTTCCGCGTACACTGTCTCATTAACGGGGACAAGGTGTCAAGTTGGGAGCGAAAGAGGATTTTTTGGTGAAGCGAACAGAGCTAAAGGATGCTTGAACAGTTTGATAGAATAGTTTGCCTTATACTGTGTTTATACCATTGTAATGTAGTAGAAATTATTCCGCTGCAACTCCTGTAAGCCAGGATCTACAGTAGATATAACCATGAAAACACCGGAACACTGAAATCCGGCGCGTCCCAGGGACATGAGTAACTGTCTTGGTTCTCGCAACGAAGTGAATCAGAAGATATTATAAGAGAAGAAAAAAAAAACGATAGTTTCCTCATGTCAAAAAAGATTGGTTGCCTAGAAAAGATTGATAGTCGACACAAGTAATTATGAACAGCAAAACGATTTCTGGTTAATCCTAGCGTGATCCAATATCCAACAACTGAAGTTTCACTTGTTTTTGTAACAAGTCATTATCTTAGTAATCATTACAAATTGCCTCATGTTTTGTAGCAAAAAATGTCTCCTTAATCTCATGATTTTACACTTTGCAACCTTGAGACTGACAAAAAGATTGTAATTCTGCAAAAACTGAAACTACCAACTGTTTGGAAACGACATCAACAGTTTTAATAATATTCGTCGCTCGTATTCATTACTCACAGAAAGGGATTTGCACAGAACTGTGCAATTCATATTACCTGAGTTTCTGGTCGTAAATTTTCGCTCATTAGAGCCGGAGCCGGGAGTGCCGCCGCGACTGTCACGGGTTTAATTAAAATTTTATCAAAGTTATTCCTGACAAAGTTTTTGTCAAATAGATTTAGTCCAACTGTTGTAGGACTCGGGAAAAGTGCGTAATTGAATACTTTCCCGCCATTTCTGTTTGTCGTTTCATAAGTATGTTTGTTAAGGACTTTTGGGCTTACGTGTTTGTTAACAATGTAATCACAGACATTTGAGACTTCTTAATTAACGCGAGAAGCCAGATAGGGCAAAATTGTGATAGGATTGAGAGATATTTTGCAAAGAAAATATTAAAGCACGCTTGTTTTAATAACACATTATGTTAGCAACTCTCAACAACTTTTTGCCTAAATAACAGAAAAGAAACTATCATCGGATGGCCATAAAAAGTTTTGCAAAGTGCCGATAGATTCCGGATCAGTTGAGGCCACACTTTCTTCGTGGGTATCGTGACAAATGATCGTTAGCTCAGCACATTGCTGGAGTAAGCTTCGTTACCCCCCATTTGCAGCAACAGCTCGTGAATACGCCCTCTGTCGGTAATTTGAGGGAACATGGCGGAAAATTACAGGCTGACTGACTTATGAGATGGTGACGTGATGTTATAGTGCTGTGCTCTGAAGGCTTTAGTGCCGAGATAAGGGTTAAGGAGTAGGGGTAATTTAGCGTGATGGAAAAGTTATCTGAGCGCGGGATAAAGTATAAAGATAGCACAAACTTATATGAATTTGTATGTACATGCAACGAAAGGAGAATTTATTCAATAAAATACTTTTTCAGAGCGCTTATTACTAATTTGTTTTACGTTTAAAGTAACCGAAACGAAACCGCGTTCGGCGCTGTGATTGGTTGGTTTATTGGAGTCGGCCAATAGGAGAGCTGAACGCGGTGTCGTAAACGGTAAATGTAAAACAAATTCGTACTACGCCCTCTGATGATGATCTTTGATTTTATATAACTATTTTACTATTACAGCCTCCAATATGTAGACCAATAAAATAGATAAAAGAACAAAATAGTAATAACAGTTCTAGTATCCAATTACATTTCTTGTGGTCTATCAGAGACTATTTAAACCAAGGTTAAAGAAACCACTAGTATTGATCAATGAGATGACTTAAATAATAGTACACGTGTTCATTTATACAGCCACCTACGAGACCTATAAAAAAACATATTCAAAACGGGATCCAGTTTCGTTTCATATGAGCATTGTACAAAGTATTAAAGCTGATATGTCTAAAGGTTGCTGCACGGTTGGTGCGGTGGCTGGGCAACCGGCTGCCTTGCAACGTGTCGCGGGTTCGATTCCCGCACGGAACAACACTTTGTGTGGTCCACAAATTGTTGTTTCGGGTCTGGGTTGTCATGTGTATGTGAACTTGTATGTTTGTAAACGCACCCACGATACAGGAGAAAATCCTAGTGTGGGGCAACGTTTTTTTTTAAGGATCCACGGAAATAGGACCACGTATCCCTACAATTGTGAAGTTTCCTGTACCATATTTGTGGGTAGGAGAAGACAAATGGACGTAAACGAAGTTACTAGTGTGCACTTTGATGCCTGTGTGAGGAAATCTCATTTGTACGAGTAGAGGGTGATGCTCAGAAGGCGTGCTTGTGTTTTTGTTTGTTTGTGTATTTGTAAATTGTCTAGATTGTTTCAACGTGTACAAAGCTTTTGTAAATACTGAAATAGAGTACCATTTTAATAAAAGTATAAAATAAATGAAACCCCAACTGTAACACAGTTCAAATGAAAGAAGAATTCGACTCGACTCGAATCGACTGTTAATACGATTCGCATTTTTCTATAATAGGTAGTCTTATCAAGACTTGTTCTAAAAATTGTCTTCAAATAATTTACTTCATATTATACAAAATTTTATGTGTGTCACAATAAATAAAAACCAACATTACCAGCGCAATACAAAGCAGTCTATAAACTTTTTAAAAGGCTAACGACAGTTTTTTGTTCTGAAGTTTTTCCCGGACTCCCACAGTCAAAAGTTGCAGAGACGATCGATCGAGGTGGCTTTATTTGTAGGAAAAATAACAATACGAATACCTTTTTACTAAAATACTTTTTATTGACGGACTACTTCATAAGTAACTGGTGGAGTGGTGGATTACATTATTAGGAGCCATCTTGTTTTAAAAAATGATGATGAAGTGCTCCCACACCGCAGTTATGTAACGTTAGAGATTGATTTAACATTTGTTTTGAATAAATTATAACAAAAGTTGTAGTAGTAAGTTGACATGTTGTGGAGTATGTTACACGCCACGCTATTATACATGTTATCGTGTATGTATTGTAACTTTCGTGAGACATACTAAATAAAAATATTATATTTTTGGCTTACTCACGTAATTATTTGTCGAGGAACTCGACTAGTTTCAAGTTCAAGCCATGCTACTGTCGCGCTGCTACAGTTACTGCGTCGCGGGTAGCGAAATGCTGCTCATGAATATGAGCCTCTAGCATGGCTTGAAACTAGTCGAGTTTGTGCTCAATCAGTTACGTGAGTAAGCCGAAAATGTTATTGTGTTACACAATGTGGTATAACGTTTTATAACAGCTGTGTGGGAGCACATACCTTTATAAAAAAGCACAGACTTGAATGAAACAAATGAATTTAAAAGTATTATTGTCAATCACACCCCATTTGTACATAGACCTAATCACAGAACATTTAAAGGAGTTCTGTGGACCTAATAATATATTCTTAAAACATAACATAAAACAACATCACGCCTTTTATCCCCGAAGAGGCAGAGGTGTGCACAGAAGTAACACCCACTTTTCACTAATTATGTTATGAGTCCCATGTAATAGGGGGTGAGCCTATTGCCATATATCGGGCACAATTCCAGACTCCGTGCTACTACTAAGATTTTTTTAGAAACATAATAATACTTTGCCCGACCCGGGAATCGAACCCGAGATCCCTTACCTGGCAGTCGCACTTGCGATCACTCGGCCAACGAGGCAGTCATGTATATAGACCTAATTGTATATTCTCAAAACAATAAAATATACAACCAATTTATCCTTGAATACAATTAAAAATAAATTATTCTCTCATTCTAGCAGTGTAAGTACAATATAAATTACTGTCGACTCTATTAAGTAGGAGTGAATGTTAAGTGCTGACGCGTAGGCTGAAGGGCCGATAACAAATATAGAAATACAACCTTATAAGGAAATAAACGTAGACACACGTGATAAATTGTGCAAATTATTTAACGAGAAATATACAATGTTATTTTTGACATGACATATTTTGTTTTTAAGTTTCTATCAACATAATACTGAATTGGTAAAGACGCCAAAAGAAACTATGTAACGTGAGCTTCATCGCTATTTACCTTCCACAACCAATTATATTCTTACACTCTTTTCAGATTAGTTGTTATGTTTTTATAATAACTATCGTGAGACATACAAAATTAAGTCAAAACGCGGATTACTCACGTAAATATACTGAGAAAAGCTCTACTAGTTTCGAACCACAGAGGGGTTCTTCCTCATGAGCAGCGTACGCGGTCGCGACGACGCGACGTCGCGCAGCTCACTGAATATTCACGCACGCTCTCAGTATATTCACGTGAGTAACCCGCGTTTTTACTTAGATTA